GTTATTCCGTTGTCTTAAACAGCTCTGCCATCTGAGCGCTGGTCAGGTGTCCCTCCTTTCGGTTTGGGTCGTGTTGTGCGCTCTGGTGTCTCATTAAACTGTATTTACCTTCAAATCAAACAAAAATTAAAAATTAGTAACTTTTCAAATACTGTATAATCAAATAAAGTTTTAAACAAACTTTTCATTCAAATGGCAAAACTTTTGATTTATAAAATAAGTAACTAATTATCCTAAGTAAAATAATTCTTGATAACAAGAATTAAGAATAATTTTTCAAAGTATGTAAGACTACATGAATGTAGTGGACAGACATTAAAAGGGAACTACAGATCACGACAGAAATTGCTAATTACTTGAGAAAAATTTGCCGCAATTGTGAAAATCGCAAACATTGGGGTTGACACTGGAGTGCAGTTTCGTGTGTTCAACCAAATTGTATTTTCTCATAAAACTTTTGCCACAATTAGGCCAATCGCATGGGAACCGGCGTCCGGTGTGTATATTCTTGTGTGCGTCCAGATGTGGTCTCGACCGGAACCGTTTGCCGCAGTTGTCCCACTCGCAGATGTATGGCTTGTCCGCGTGACAGCACGAGTGGCACCCGTGGCTCTGGCTCTTGCGGGACTTGCCTCCTGAGGTGAGATCATGGACACCATTATTACGAACAATAAATACAATTATTTCTTATGTGTATTGACAGCAATGTGTGATACAATGTTAACTATGTTATCGTGTGTTTGATTAGAAATTAACGTCAATTAAATAGTTTTCAGTCTAATTATCACTTATATCACCCGGTGATTGACAGCTATTGACGTCTGAATAGTACCTGAGCTTTGAGTACAGTATTGACAGATCTTATCGTTAATTTCACCTACAATTACACACCAGTCCTGTCGTAACTGTATTACAGATACGGAGGAATTGGATTAAAATGTTATGTATTACTGACATATGGTTGTCATACCAGCGCTAAAAGTATGGTATAGTCTGTGAATATTACTGTCAATCCTCTTAAGACTTAATTTATATAACTAATACCTAATATATAATAAACTACCATGCTACATATTGTACAGAATATTTGTAAATATTATGCTATAATTGACTGATGGTTGGTATGTATGAGTGGTGGTGTATGCGTTGATCACTGACCAGTTCCGTGTCCATTGCCGGTGACGATGGTGTCATTCAATTGGATCATAACCTGCTTATATCGGTCGCACTCAAGCTTAATGTCTTTGATTTGTTGCTTGAGTTTATCGCACTCTGAGTTCTTGGCCGACAGTTTGCGTCTCAACTGCTCGTTGTCTGCATTCAGACCATCCACTTGTTGTTTCAGACCTGAGTTCTCGTTCACCACCGATGCCTGACTTCCCAACACATACATCATCCCCGGGTTGGCCACGGAGTTCATCCAACAGATCACTCAAACACTTGCCACAGATATATCGC